AAAATAAAACTCTAAATCATATTAATTATATTAATTTTAATATTTTATAATTTAATTTAATCTAATTTTACATCTTGCTTTTCGAGTCAAGGGACCTCTGACTACATTATGATGCATTTCTCTTTTTCTTTTAGGTGGATTCAAACCCGTTTCATGACATATTGTTAAAAGAAAAATTAATTTTATATTAATTTAATTTAATTTTTTACTAAATTAAATCAAATAAAACAAATTGAATATGAACACCCCTACTTACAATTCGGTTTGCCAGCAAAGCTACAGTGTGGATGTGTTTCATTTTTTGAAATGGAATGCTCTGAACTTGTGCTAGGAGATTTGAGTAGTCGTGCCTTTTAAGTGGGCATCGTACTGGTGCTAGCTATATCTCACAAAAGGGTAATTCTTTACCGGTCACCAAAATTGAGAAGTACTGTTCATAGATCCGGTGGTGTTTCTTTTTGTAGAAGAAAAGTTAGGAACTTGTTATTAGGAACAGTTATTTTAAAAAAAGTGTGAGAAAAGACAATTGAGATTTATAAGGGTCGGTGGATTCACTGGGAGTAGAAGGACTTGCGCCTTTTGGGAGGATTAAAAGCTAAATAAAAGTGAGAATCACGAATGATGAATCCATATGCATAAGTAAATATTCTTCTGGTTTTGATTACGGGCAAAAGGATGGAGATGAAATCTCTGTGGATAATCAAACAAGTGCTTCCGAGTATCCGCCATAAAAAAGTGTGTTCTTTCTTAGAATTCCTATTCCTTCCCAAAATAAATTCAGTGAGTAATGATTTACCAAAAGAGAGGAGTAAAGAAGAAAAAGTGAAAAACAGCGTAGAGAGAGACAACGAAGAGACCAAAACTAGGGAGAGAAAATAGAAAAAGCATAATGGCTGAATTTTTAAGAATAAATAAATAAAAAAAACAAAAACAAAATAAAACGAAGAAAAAGCAACCGGTTGAAAGTGGGTTACCAGTTTAGATGTGATATCGAGTTGCTACCTGTCACAAGGAAGATACGAGTGTCCAAGCGGGTGTGAAAGGGCCAGTGCCCCTAGCACTGCTTACATAATTATCCACACTTTCCTGGTGCGGTGAGGATAGAAACCAGAGATGTTTGGATGTTATAATTTTTTTTTTATTAATTTTTCAGTATTTGATAATTACATTAAATTTTAATTAATTTAAAATTAAATTACATCAAATTTTATTTGAAAAAAACTCTTTCAATACATATTTTTTCATTTATAAGATTTAAATTCAAATCAATAGATTATTGGTGTTTCGATATTATATTGTAAGAGAGGGGATAATTATTTTTATCTTTAAACTTATTTTATATGTATATATTTAGTGAATTGACTATAAATTTTTTTTATTTTTATAAAAATTATTATTATTTAATTATTTAAATCATTAACAAAGGGAGATGTTTCTTTCTCTATTATTCTCCCTCGATGCCATTTTTTTACGGCTATAAAAAAATCTAGAATTTTATTTATGTACAGTGAACTAACCTTAATTTAGTTTATTAAAATTTACATCTAACCTTTAACGTACCAAAAAGGAAGTTTATTAGATTGAACAATCTCTAGTACGGCAATCTAATGGAGATTCTTAAAGAAATTTCGGCCGTAGGAATAGTCTACCCAACTTTTTGATTTTTAGTTTTTTTAGTTTAACAACAGGTAATTTAATTAAAAGTAAATTATACATGCTAAGACAAAAAAAATTTTAAAAAATTATTTTTAAAATTTTCTTTTCGTCATATTGGAATATTTAACATCTTATAATTATTCGAAAGATAGGTAACTTTATTTTTTGTACTCATTTGCAGCTATGTTCTAAATAAAAATTTTCTTCCAACAGCAAATCTATTCCAGGATCGGAGCACAGTTTAAGAACCGCGACCAAACGTGCCTTAATATGGCCGGCCTGCGAGGGAAGGCTACTCTTTCCTTATTTTTTCTGGTAGAAATGGAAAGGCTATTCTTTCCCCCTTTTTTTTTTAAGTATAATTTAAAGTTTTTTTAACTTATATTTTAAGAATGTATATTAAATTTTTTTTAAAATAAAAAAATCATATTTATTTTATGAATTATTTAATTAAATTTATTTACATGATATTAATAATAAAATTAATGTTAATTTTAATATTTTTTATATAAATTTATTAAAAAATATATCCTTAAAAACACAAATTAAAAATTTTTTATAATTTAAGGATAAAAAGATAAGTAATAGCATAACATCGTCATGGCTTAAATTTTAATTATAACAAAGAGACATTAAATAGACTTAATAATTACTAATTAGGTCATGAGGCGATGCGGCTATTCAGAATTCAGAATCTCAGAAAAGAAGGAACAAGAATAAAGTGGGACCAAGTTAATGGAATAAACCGTTCAATAAATGCCACGTGTGACGATAAGCGTTATCGTCTCCCCAGTCTCCGTTGATTCTTGCAATGAAAGCGTATGATAAGAAGGTTGAAAAAATGACGAAATTGTGACTGATGTGGGCGCCTCTGTCCTCAAGTAAACAAGTGGAAGAATCACCCTACTCTCTTCGCTCTAGTCTTTTGGGGTAAAATCACCCAACTGTATGGTATTTTGTTAATTCCTAAAAGGCAAATAATAGTATTATAGATCAACGATAAGTTAATTTCAGTGAAAAAATTTATTTTTTAAAGTAAAATTTTAAATTTTATAAATAAAAAAAAACACTAAAAAAGGTTTTTTCTGTATAAAATTTAATTCGATTTAATTTTAAATTAATCAAAATTTAATATAATTTTTTAAATACAGAAGCATTAATAAAGAAATAATAATAATGCTATAGTAATACTTTGTTTTTAAGCATGGAAGAGATTCTGCGTAATATATTAATAAAATGAGTTAAATTATATAAA